TTACATTGTATACAGTTTTGTTTCCGCCTTAACAACGTTGTCTTTATTTGGACCTGGAAAAAGAAAATAATAAAAGCACACGAAGAAACTGAATTCCCAACGCTCTGGGTACGATTATGGCGTAGACAAACAATAATAACTCATCACACTATACCTACTGTGTTTCAGTTTCCTTGCACAAATTAAAACAGCAATAAAATATTTTATGAATTCGTTTAAAATTAAATTGTTGAAAAAATATTTTCCGACAGGAATAATTATTTTGTTTTCATAAAATACAATCTGATATATTATACGTGACCATAAACCAAATGATTTTAGATAACTAAAAAATAGATAATTATAGTTTTTGCTAAAATTTTCAAACTAGGTCAATTAAAATTCAACAAATGAACTTGACCTATGAAATTTCAAAGCAATTTACTGCAAGCTGTATAAAAAAAGTTCACATTTTTCCTCCAGAAAAAAGTTATAATAGTTATATGTAAAGGTCCTTAGTTTACAATTGTTCTTAAAATATCTTTGAGTTTGTTTAACAAGTTTGTTTTTAGTTTAAAAATGGTACACATGACTCATGAGTTACGACTCGAACACAATTGTATTAATCGTAGGTAGGTATATAGTACAACTAGACATTGAAAAAACGGAAAATAATTGATTTCTGGGAATTGAAAATGTCTGTGATTGATTGTTTGGATGTAGGTCGATTGAGATGTTTTTATAGTGAATACATAGTACGAATGTATTGATGGAAAAATTCAACAGCGTTATATATTATTTTATTATTTTGGTGTGCTGTGTGAAATCCAATTTTCTAATTATGTTTGTTCTATTTTTGAAACCATCCTTGTCACAATGCAATTCAATTATTTATAATTATTGTTCCATTTAAGTTTAAATTACGGCTCTATTTGTTTAACACATTTATGCTATGTGACATAATATATCATCTAGTATATAGTATAATATCTACCTATAGATTTATTTATATGATTATTTAGATATAAAAAACCATTCGATTTTTTCAGTATATTATAATGATATCGTACTGGCATACTCAGTAATTTACCTGTGGAGGGGGGTATATATGTTCTATAAAAAAATTAACGTTTGAATATTTGTGAAAAACTTTCGAAGTGTTGATTGTGTGTGTCCAATATATTTTAAGAAACCACAGTTTTACTTAGTATATCGTAACAATTTTGAACATTTATTTAAATTTTTGGAACACTATATTATATTGATTCAATTACAATTTATTTATTTTATATACATGTCATTATCAATTAAATGATTACATTTACTATATACAAACATCTACAACACAATTTATGATTTTTTGTTTCAAAGTTAACCTTTTTTCCTGTAATTTTTGTAATTACATAAATACTATATGATTATGGACTTTCTAAATAAAGTAATAAACACACATATAACAATAATAAAACTGCGCGATGAGTTTATTTTTAACAAATCAAAATGTTGTTTTATATAATATAACAGAATGTACGAATAAAATAAACAATTGCGAATCATAACGACTTAACGGTGAACAGTAATTTTACACGTATATATACCCGCAGAAAAATATAGGTGCACGAGATGATGCTTTGTGCTCTCAGACAATAATTATTTACATAACACTCTTTACTAAATATATCTTCATTTAATGATCGATCGAAATCATTTTTGATTTTACAATTAATTCTCAACTAAATAATTATTCATTTCAATTCAATTCGTGCGTTGTTTTAAAGCGTAAAAAGTTCTTTTTAATCGTAAACATAAAAGAAGAAACCAAGAAGCATGCAAATTGTGCCTGTGCTCGAGATTTTGGTGCGAAGAGCGTTGGACGTGAAAACAAAACAATAATAATAACGACTTGTTCATCGGGAAAATTGAAGGAAAACCATTCGTTCAAGCTGTAAAGTCATAAAAAAAAACTGAAGAAATTGAACACAGTCGATCGAAAACCAATTTGGATGCAAAAAGGACCCAAAGACTGAATACCTATATAAAACGACCAAGCCTTTGAAAATTCTTCAACGATTTTTCGTTTGTGTTTGCAATAATATATTTTAATCTATTTAAATATCGACATTAATTTGGTAACTAACTATGATCACTAACTAATAAATATAAATAACTTCCACTGGTTATAGTCACATATATAAGGTTCATCATTCGCAGTATCATTAGAACTTATTGATTTATATACTTCCACATTTTTCATCAACATAGTTTCAGAAACTGCAGTATACGATAATATATATATATATATATATATATATTATGAATTTTTAATTAATAGAATACGATACTTACTTACGTATACTGTAGGATATTGGGAATGCTGATTAGTTTGGTGTGGGGTTTCTTATGATAGAGAATTTCTAGTTCACTGGCAGTTAGTCTTACGAAGTGAAGGACGTTAACATATTTCATGTTAAAAGGTTATAGGTACAATGTACATACTACGATGTACCATCGGTAATACGCTTTGACATAGTTGCTTGAATGTTTGCACAGTTATGTATTATATTCAATAGTTTGGATGGTCTTCCCCCCCTCTATTCAAATTTTGTACAATTATACATGCTTAGAGATTTATACATAAGCGGGATTTTTGTTTGCAAAAATAATTTTTAATATTAAGACAACTTTAGCATTATAGAAGTTGAAACTTAAATTGATTCTATTTTAGTTTTGTTTGATGATATCAAATATTAATCTTTTGTCTAGTGCTGTATGTGAGTGTTTCGTCGAAGGTTTCTTATAACTACGGAGTTATTGTTGTTCAACTAAAGCCTAATTTTGGATTTTAATAACGGCTCAGTGTGAAAATTCTCAGCCAGGTTTTTCTTTAGTAAATTATAATTTATCTGTTTATGAGCCATGTGATTATTTAATTTAAGTGTGATAGAAACTGCTTAGTGATTCATGAATTAAAATATCTACATGAATGACAGCAGCAGTGAACGTTTTAATCTTGATTTTCTGTATAGCCAGTAATTGTAGCTACTAAAGTGTTGCTCTCGTCCGTAAGCATGTCCAAGGTCTATATAATATTATATATGTATAGTTAAGTATAGAAGATAGGTCACTTCCACTGGGAATTCTTGTTTTAATTGGATTCGAGATGGACTTTTTTATGGCGTACTGTGAAGAATTTATTTTCAAGGAATGATTTTATAATTAGGGAAATAAGGTAAAGTAAGAAACATTTAAGTTTCAAAACAGACTTGTCGCACTAAACTCGATCAAAATCCTAAGTTATCACAATATTGAAAATACGGACTCAGAATATATTGGTTTTGTGTAAAAACAAATGTGTTTGTTCTAAAAATAATGATTTTAATTGTGCCAGATATCATATCAAATACACGTTTAATTTTTTTTATTTTGCAAAATATTAACTGTAAATTAATGAAAATAGTAAATCAAGTTTCTAATATGTTATGCATTAATCGAGTCTATGTTTGTGACTTGGATCATATTTTAAATGACTATACAATAGGTATGCGCACGATGTTTCAACGTACTTTAATTTATATACCTATACTAGACAAAGAAATCTATTATTTATATATTTTTTAAATTGATGTTACTCGAAAGTAATCTAACGTGCGTAATATTATATAGTTTATTACCTTAGATAACACGGGAGCATGTGTAAAGTTTTTATTTTCACCTAATCTAGTAATATTTATCCATAATCGACGAGTTAATCTGATTTTGGAAATATAAACACACTACGCGAAGTTATAATTATTATAATATCATCATTTTTATCATCACTCAATATTGTTTATGCATTTTTTGGAAGTAATTATCTCATGTACGAATTCATGGTGATTATTTTTATCAGCGATATCGGTTTATTTTTGTTCATTTAGTAATGCTTTAAGTTTTAATTAATTAAGATTATTATCGCGCTATCGGTAGAATGGTTTATGCACGTAGTAACTTTAAGGGGTATTGTTATATTTTCAATCATTCGGCATTCAATTGATCACGTAGGTAATCAGTACCGTTTTTACTTACGTTTCTTAAATTTACTGGTGTGGACGGATTCAAAAAAGTTTGAATTGCACCAAAGTTTTACGTTCGAATACAGTCAATAAATCTGAGTTTCAATATTTACAGGCTAAAATTGTTCATAGAGATATAACTATATCGTTGATAACAATAAACTTAACATTGAAAATATTTCTTAAACGTTATGAAATAATTCGTAGGTATCTGTCATATAAACGACCTATTCAATTTATTACAAATACAATTTTCCAATGCCATTATTTAAATGCTGCCACTGAGAAACATCTGAAAATTATTCTTAGAACTTATCAACTTGAACACATAAATTGAATATCAATCTCTATAGATGTATGACTATACGATAGGTATACGACTTCGGTATTGATGATGGTATCTTTAAATAGTCTACAGTTTTCTTTGACGAATGAAAAAAAAATATGAACAGTTTTAATACCAGCATTTAAATCTTGAACTTTGAATTATTAAAATCGCTGAACAATCAAGCACACCTTTAGATGCTTAAGATTTCTTAAGAGATATAATATCTTGGTTCCTTTTTTTTCAATCTATAGCGACTATACCTAATTTTAAATCATAATAATATGTACCATTACTTGAAGTACTTTAGTAATTTACTTCAATAAATTATATATTATGATCCATAAACATGGTCGATTCTGTAAATTATTTATTGAGTTTAGTCACTTGTTAGCTGTATATCTTCCTCGTTGTATAATTAAAAAAGCACAAAATACTTACTTTATCTATATAATAAGAAAAATAAAATCATAGGTAGATGTTAAATATTATTAGGACACAATATATTATTATGATTATTACATATTACCAAATTATTCACATAGTCGATTAATTTAAGCATTTAAAAATCTTAATAATTTACTAGCATGTTCAAAAGTATACAGTATATTTCAGATAATTTGTATGTACTGATCATATTTTAGGAATGCCAAAATTTGGTGAAGATTTGAATAATGTGACGGTGCCAGTTGGTCGAGAAGCTGTATTCATATGCAACGTCGAAGGATTAGCAACTTACAAGGTATTAAATCTATTCGATATTTTAGTTATAAATAAATTCATAAAATTAAAAACATATTAATTATCAAATGTTTATGTTGGGTAAGTCAACAAATTAATTACGATTTACGATTTTTATGGGCATAATATCCAGCCACTTCACATGGAGATACAATAATTGTAAAACTGAAAATATAACTAACTACCATATTGATTAAAATCACGTACGGTTAATGAGCTTGTGCAAAACTAATAATATTTGTAATACCTTCTGGGTCGTTATAATCATGAACAATAGGGTAGTGAAATTATTGTTGTTCTATTTTAAATAATGATGAAAAGCTCACTGTTTTATATAATACAACTTTATTTAGACATTAATTGACAGGCAGTAACTAATAATTCATATTCTATTTTCAAGAATGTAAAAATTAAAACGACACAAAACAATTATTTGAATGTAGAAAACATTCTTTTTATCTTAGGGAATAAAATAAAATAATGACATAAAAAAATGTCAACAAACTATTCACCGACATTTTATTTTTATTTTTAAAATAACTTACAATATTTCAATTACTCTTAACCACTTTTGTTGGTGGTACAAGTGCGGTACCTACTACAACCCGAAATAAAAAGTGTCCGTAATTTACTAGTCACGTACCCCATTTCGTGTTCACAATTTACATTTAAAACTTAGAGTTCATAAACTATATTATATTATGTGAGAGGTATGACATTTGATGTCAACATGAATGATGTTAAAATTAAAAAACTGCAGTGTGTTTTACTTTTGAAACAATATACGACAAATTAATACGTCACACATACTTCTACGAATACTGATGCTGGTGAAAACTTCTATCGTAATTTAATTTTACTTTTAGGTTGCTTGGCTGAGAGTGGACACCCAGACCATATTGACTATTCACAGTCACGTGATCACGAAGAACCATCGGATCGCAGTGACGCACAGCGATCATCGAATATGGCATCTTCATATCCGGGAAGTTAGAGAAGCTGACAGGGGATGGTACATGTGCCAAATCAACACGGACCCAATGAAGAGTCAACAGGGCTACTTGCAAGTAGTTGGTAAGTGGATGGCAAGGCGGAAAAACAATTCAACAGTAAAATCGTATTATATTTTTATAATAATAACTAGCGGTAAAAAGTTTTGAAAGGTTTTGTGCAGCCGTGCTAATTGAAGCGAATAGGACACTCGAAAGTTCACTCACAAACGTAATCAAAACTTGAATTAAAAGTTTTTTAGACCATTCAACCAAATTATTATTATAATAGTACCTACCAACGTCTGAGAATTTATCCTTAAGCATAAAAATCTAGAAATTCCACCATGTTACGGCCTGGTTGGCTGTCGAACAGTTTGGAAAAAAAAACTCGTTAAAATATAGTTAATATTTAAATTTAGTATTGAATACATATATCATGGAAATCTGCGAAATCCTTATAAACTATAAACTGTGATTTTTAATAATAAAAACTATACACACAATATTATAATTTATTAATCCCATTTCTCGACTAGTTTATGCTATAGTAATTTACGATTATACTGACTTAATTTATTATTGCTTTAGCATTTAATGCCGACGATAAAATAATATTATTGCATGATTTTACCATAGACCGGTTAAATATACAATATTTATTGATGGTTTTGTATCATTTTATTTTAGAATTTTTTAATAATTGTAAGTTAACTATTCAAAATATAGTACATCATTGTTAAAATATGATAAGTTCAATAATTTTGTAAAATACAAAATACAGAATTGACAACAATAATATATTCGTATTTTGGTGGTATTTTTCTTAAAAATGTTACTTTTATGACTAGGTATTTACATTTTGTACCTAATTTACTGACACATGCAAAAGTAAAATAATGTAGTGATATAATTAATTCACATGAGCACACAGCTAATCTTGAAAGTAATATTTTGGCCTTTGACGAAGATTCTTGCTCGTTCCAAAATTATATTTTAGTTAATGCTGCTATAATTTAATTTAAAGAAGATTTGAAAATTAAAACACTATCATGACGATCCGCCCACCTCGTTTCACACAAACTCTAAAGCCGCTGTTTAGGCACCATGTAATATTATCCTATAACTTCTTTTAATAGGTAAACACCATTTTTAATTTAATTCTTAACTGATAATGATTTTGTTATTGATAATGGTATGATGAGATGTTGGTTTGAATAAGAATGTTTAAATAATAACATTGAGGAGCATGTAAAGCGTAGGATTTTATTTTTAGCATAGCGCCTTTTAAAGAAGTTATGACAGATTAACTGTCTGTTTCGACTCCAGCACAGTTCAGCGATCTTGAATGTACATTTTGCACTATTTATTATGTATTATTTATTCTTATATTATCATTAATATATTAAGTCGATATTCCAAATAAAATTAAATCCGTCCAAACCAATAATAATTTACACCAACATTTTTGTATATTACCACCCTACTCATTAAATCTAATATCGACTTTTTCCATTATTGTAATGCACTCGCAAATGCAATTGGTTATAATGAATTCAGTAACAAAAGTAATATAAAAGAATTAAAACTACAAATACATTCATATGACTCATTTTGAAAAAGTATATTCCTAATAATAGATGAAAAAGTAAATTTTCACACGTATCAAATCCATAAAAATAACCATTTTGTTTGATTATCCGTAATCTACACCATACACTATTAATAATTTCAAAAATAGAAACTCAAATAACATAGTTAAATAGCTCTTCAAGTATAGCCAACGATCAACGTAATTAAATGGTAGATTAAAAGTATTTGCCTTTACAGACGTAATTCGATATTATTTTTTAAACTTACTAAAATTTGTGACACTAAAATAATACTATAATATAGTTAAATAACCTCATCCCTATCGTCAAATGTCAACTTTTCTAAATTGCTGGTCATAAGAAAACCTATTGCAATCATCAACCAAGTTGTGAACCTCATGCGACTAAAACGGTCAAATACTACTAATCACCCAAGTGTATCATGTCAATAAGAATGTATGCCGAAAGTTATTAAATTTTCTTTTTCTACAAATACATTTAATCAAAACGCTTATCTTATTCTACAATATAATATACTCATAGTTAATAGTACCCATAGTTTAAAGGTTTTCTTATTTTTTAAATACATTGTTTTTATTAATACAAATTTACAATCTATACAGCGTGTACAATAAGTAAATAAGTAGATTTATATGGAATAAGAAGTTGAAGTTTCTAAAAATAAAAATACTCCAAACCTGAAACCATATGCCAAAAACCTCTTCTAAAATCACTCTTATTCAACTTCCTACTAATCAGTCACACCATTTTAAAGACAACTATAGGTTTCCCAATTTTACAATGAATCAACTTCATTAATTTATAAATCATCTCAAATCAATTATAAACACAATTGTCACACTACTAACAACAGCTATAAACATAGTGATCCATAAAATTTAAATAAACATCCTAATATCACTTTCAAATAAACAAAATCCTTCAATCGGTCCAATATGGAAATAGTTTCAAAACCTATTAACTACTTAAAAAGTATTAACAATGATGGTGATTTAAGTATTATGTTATTCATATTGAATTTTCTTATTGTTCCATATTTTTATTAAGAGAAGGTTCTTATATTTTTAAATTACATAAATAAATAAATAACTTAAAAGCATTCTAAATATTTTAAAAGTTATAGAAAATGATAATAAGTAAATAGTGGATGTTTCAAGTAAATATGATTACAATTTTTTGAAATAAAACAAAATAAAGAAATCGTTTGAAAAGAAATCATTACTTAAGTTCAAACATCCAATTTCATAAAAATATATTAACTTTAAGATTAGCTCATAAAAAAATGTAGCATGCAGCTTTATACTGAACCTTTTTTTTTAATTTTCTAGTTAAATAGTTTGAGAGATCTCGTATTAAATTGTCAAGCCTTGAGTGTTAAAATTAAAAATGTCATGCATTATTGACTACAAAATAATTTACATATTTTCGTTATAAACATTACAATTTCATCATACATAAATTAAAAAGAAACTAAGAATTTGAATAATTCTTATATCTATTAATAGCATAAAAAGAGCCAATATATTTTAAAAATGTTACGGTGGTTAAAGTGGGAGGGGGGCTGAGGTGAAGTTGGAGTCCCCAATGAAAAAATTTGTTTTCTGGGGAAACCATACCATGCAAATTTTAAAAACTTTATAGCAAATTCTAGCAAATAAATAGAAAATTTTCTAAAGTGGTTGGAAGTTCCTGGGTTAAAGTGAAGGGGGGGGGGCAACTTCACGCAAGTGTGTTTTTGTGGTATTTTCCACTATTTTTTAAGTCTTCAATAATTCTAACTCTGGCTATTAATAAACACCCATGATCAATTATATAAACGTAGTTTTTAGTAGAACACATACGTTGGAGTAGATATCGTAGGGGTTTCGTTTCAATTGATATTCGTTTGTATCACCGATGGAATGACAGGTGGTTGGGTGAGATGGTTAATTTTTTTCCCGGATTAATGTCTCCCATGTTTTTACCTGATTTTTCTATAAGACAGGCATCCCTTGTACGACGATATATATGGACCTGAGCAGATAGCGCACTTAGCAGGTCCTGACGGCGAGTTCTCGCATTCCTTAGAAACACGACCTTTACCGCATTTGACCCAATGTGGGTTGCGTCGACAATAATTTTCCGAGTGGAAGTATGCATGACTGTTTTCGCATTGAGGAGTAGCGGACTTTTTCCTAGGAAGTTCAATTTTCATTTTTGTTGCTGTTGTTATCATTTATCGGCGATAGTTATATTGGCTCGAAATAGTGGCAGGTTCACTTTGTTGAAACGATGTATGATATTAGTGACTCGAAGTACTTGTTGACCTTCGTTTATTAAACTGAATATTTTTGTAGATACTAGAATAATCGAAACAATCCGGGCTTCTTTTTTAAACTTTATTTATTTTATCTATTTTAAAGGAGTTGCTATAGTAACTAGTATAGCATTTTTTGCAATACTTGCATTTGTAACAAATGAGTGACAAATTTTGGATTTCAGTAACAATAATTTCAATTATTGGAAAAAATCGAATATGTTACAAGTTTATAAAGTAAAAAAAACAATTCCAACAATAATTAACTATTTTGAAAATCATATACAATGTCTAGGAAATGATAGTATAAGCACTTATTTGTTTTTTAAGTACAACAAAATAATAAAATTGATTTAGTCAGAAACTGGTTTAATGTATAAATTCCAGTTTTTCTCTAATTTGTTTTCCAAATATTTAGAAAAATAGTGTTAATCATCTTTTAATTTAATTTAATTTTTACCTCCTAAAAGTAGCAACTAGATTATCTTTACCAGAAAAGATGAGAAAGTTGCAGAAGAAACACATCAACATATCAAAGTAAAATCAATACATTTATATTAAGCTTAGAATTTTAAATGTATTATAGTTCTGCTATTGAGAATAATATTTTTTATTAATAGTTTATTTCATGATATACAACCTCAAAATGTGACTCTTTGTGTAAAATTCTGACTAGTTACGAATATTTAGTATTGTATTTATACACACTATCTAAGTATGCAAGTTTAATTTTTTGTTTTTCGTCTCTTAGTTAAAACAATATTCTCGACCAATTCTGAACAGATTTCAATACATTTGAAGGAAACAAACAACAAAGTACGTCGTTATAGTTATATTAGTCGTATATTTCAGAAATATCGAAGTACCTACGATAATATTATGAATACAGTTTTTTTTAGTTTTTTTTTTTATGGCTCAGCAACTAAATCTAAAAACCAAAACTCCATTTCTACCATTTTATTTCTCCAATCGTTGCATTATGATGTTATATTATTATTAATTAAAAACCGTTATAATTATTGTAAGAAATAAAGATTGAATAGACCCGTACCCAACAATTTTTATTTATGCCTGAGTACCATTTTCATGTTATGGGTGGTTGAAATAATAAGGTTATTATTTATTTTATTCTTGTCATATCTACTCTCTTTAACATTTGTCAACTTAAAATAATTT